CGTTAGGAGTTTGTTGGAGCTACTGTCCAAGGATGAGACTGCCCATACAGTCTGTCTCGAACCTTTGTAGACTACCTGAAATAACTTCTGCTACTGTCTTGTTGCTGCAACTTTGACATACTATTATACGACATGTTCTTAGATCTTCCTTCTCTCCTGCTTGTGTATGTCTAGTCAACGACGGCTACAATGATGAACCAACAATCATATTAAATGATTCGTTGCTTACAATATTCTTGATCTACTTAGCTTAGAATAAACATTGTCTTGTAGCTGATCTTTGTAGATTCGTTGGTACTATTTTGACCAATAGAACAAATTCATGATCTCATAACTTCAGTTCTGTAAACATTATCAGGAACATCAGCAATCATCAATGTAAAACATTATACAAAGTATAGTTTTGGGATCATCAAAATTTCTTTGAGATGTTTCTCTACCAGCATCTAGGGTGCTGCTTGGAAGGGGTGGCTAGCCATGGCAATCACCTTTGGTTTGATCAAGTCAATTGGCTCTACTGGTATATAATAATTTTGAACAACACATATAATTTTTTTATGATGGTATTAATGACTGGTAACGACATTTACATATTGAATCTTAGGTTCTAAATCTTAGGTCCTTGCTTTACCTTTGGAACTCATTCTAGCTAGGGCACATGATGAGGCGTGAATGAGCACAACTTCAACTCCTTACCTGAAATATAAATATCATTTGAGATTTTCGGGTTTTGTTTTGCATGCTATTAATATGAGTAAGTACACTATTACTAAATGGGTTGTTCAAATCATAAGCAAGTCTATCCTTCTCATTCGAGGATTGGATTTGAATCATCACACTTGCGCATTCTTTTGGGACCACCCTTAGGAGCACAAACATGTGATATCTACAATGGTTACTGAGTGTGTGAGGGACAGGGAGACTACCATGCCTAATGCACGCCTGACGAGAACTAACTAGGGGCACTAGAGTCCCACGCTCGGCCTCGTGGACCCAGCCTCGACCGTGGAGGATGTGGGCATGAGCGTCAAGGTTTCCGTATTGAAGCACTAATTTCTAATGGTATTTTGCAAAATGATTTTTGATTTTTTAAAAAGAGAATCATTGTCTTGAATCCAAGCATAAAATTTTCAGTTGACTGTGAAAAGGTTTTCTATTGACTCATTTTCCTAAGCGATCCAAACACCTTAAAATGAAGAAAATGTTTTCCAACAGAAAATTGTTCACGAAACAAACAGAGCCTTAAATAAGATAATATTCCCTGAAACACCTTAAACTTAACTTTAAGTACCTCTCTCTCCCTCTTTGTGTCTGTCATCATGTATATATCGTTGTCATTGCTCACCATTATTACTCTGGGGATTGCCACCGGTCTTAGCGTTGGCACTTGTTTCCGTTTGTTAGCCTGAAGATCTAATGCAGTTGTCCTTGGCCTTGAGGCCAACAACCTTAGATGGGAGGCTAACGATATGATGTTTGATCATTGATATAAGGTCAATTTTTCATATCCATAGGTATAAACGATCTTACATTAGAATTTTCCGCCAAAGTTCAAATCTTTCCTAACTTCACTCGAGCAAATAGCATATTCACATGATTATTACTATGCATTTGAGCTACATCTATGGGTCATATTTATTAATGAAGTAATTTTGGACACCAAATGCATGATTAATGTATGGTTAAGCTGATGAAAGCATCGCCTTCCAAAATCCAACCAAAGGATTGAATAAGAGGGAATTAGTTGATCTGCCGTAAGGATCGATGATGTCATTCAACACAAATTCTTTTACCAAATAAAGAGGATAAGGTGGTAGTAAAAAAAACAACGATTGATATGTTACAATAGCAAATCACGTTGATCCTTTTTTCCGGATCGAAGGATCGAAGGGATTAAAGTGACCCCTCCTTGTAGTTGTAGACAATGATAGCAGAAGCTTCCTTAGTCCTTTCATACTTTCCTGTTAAGTGAAGCTTCATCAGTTTTGGATTATTCTTTTCACATTATCAAGCAATGAACTTCTAGTTCTAATCATTAAAAAGAGAATGATTTGCGTCATGCTTATTCTGTAGATGGTGGAGCTTAAATTGACTAAAACATAATCGACCGTCACCAATACTATAATTTCCTCATGTGTGCATGTTAAGACTATCGTTAAGAAGTTATTCTTCGCTTTGGGCTGGGATTTGGCCAGCAAGGTTTCGTTGAATCTGTCCAGTTTATTAGCCAAGAGAGCAAAATTTACTGAAGTATGCACACCACATCTGGTGGCCAAACTTCAAGAAATTCTCCATAGATACTCATTACCTCTAGAGAAGGAACCTGTCCTTTCCTTTTTTTTGGGTCATTTTCGGATAACAAGTTGTCCTCGGAAGCGTCAATAGATCATCAACTCCCGAAAAGGTGGGCGCCAACAGGTTGCTGCTTCCGGAAGCAAATCAGAATCATCCATCGTCTCGGGCACCCCAACAATTTCCACTTCCAATTAGTAAAAGAATTTTATCACCGAATAACACAAAATGCTTATTACACACTTATTTAAGGAATAAAATGCATCATTTATTTCGTACTATACATTACAAGTTTAAACGAAGGGAATTTGTTCACAAGACCTGTATTAGAAAATCAAGGCTAGTAAATTGATAATAATTTATCAAAATCAATATATACACTATAAAATTCTCTGTGTTATTTGATTGGACTCTATTATTTAAATATCTACTCGTAATCTCCGGCAGTACTTGTTAATACATCAGTTTTGTGACTTAGTTTTTGATATCTATAGCGCTACTCAATGCTAAATAGGTGGGAAAATCGTCTAGAAAAAAACTAAACCTAGTGTACGACGGTCAATTTAGTCATAATCTATTAATTGTACCAATTTAGTTTTAAACATTTTGACAACTTGTCAATTTACTAAATATTTCAATTGTGCCAATTTAGTCATAAACATTTTGATGATTTGCTAATTTAATCATAAACCTTTTAACGATTTGCCAATTTAATCCTTCCAGTCAAATTTGATTGGAAATCACTAGCATGACAATCTAGTTAGCGCTAACTGTCTTACGTGGCACTTCCGGCACTGACGTGGATAATTTTTGTATTTTTTTTTCCTTGTTTCCTTTTCTCTTCTCTTCTCTTCTTTTTTTTTTTTTTTCGTTTTTTCCCTCCGCCGAGCCATCGAGCTGGCCATCATTAGGCCTCGTCGATGGCTGGTGGAGGTTGCTGGCCGCCTTTGAGGGACCGGGGGCTTGCCCTTGCTGGCTTGGCGAGGGCGAGGGTTGTCCTCGTTGGATATGGTGAGGGCAGCCCATGCTCACCCAAGCCACGGCAACCATCGCCAGCCCAGGTGAGGGCAACCCTTTCCCGAGGGTGGCCCTTGCTTGAGGTCGGCCATCAATGAGGGTTGGTAGAGGGATAAAGGAAAAATAAAAAAGAAAAGAGAAAATATAAAAAATTAAAAAAATTAAAAAAATTGTCCATGTCAGTGTCGGCTGTACCACGTAGGATGGCCGATACTATCAAGTCAACGATTTCCGGCCAAAATTAGCTGAAATGACTACATTGACACATTGTTAGAATGTTTAGGACTAAATTAATAAATCATCAAAATATTTAAAATTAAATTGGCACAATTGAAAGGTTTAGAATTAAATTGACAAATTATCAAAATGTTTACAACTAAATCGGCACAATTGAAAGGTTTATAACTGAATTGACCGCCATACGATAAATTTAGGACTTTTTGGACAATTTTTCCCTAAATACGTAATTTGGCTGTAAAAGATGTCTACCTACATCATGTTTTTCTTATCTTTTTCATGTATAAATTGGATTGGTCAATATTAGATGGAAGATGGTGGGTGACACTCATCTTAATTTGCTATTACCTTGATGTAGATTTATACTAACAAGAGTCGTAATGTCAACGACTAGTAGAAAATTTTTTGGAGTTGTAGAGGAGCCATGCATGAAGAGTTTAAAATATCTAATCGAGTCGAGTTCGTAAATCTTTGACTTTAATAACATGACATATGAATCTAATCAAGGAATAATGTATATTAACCGCAAGTTTCCAACCCGTGAGGGTTGCAATGCTTTTTCAAATTTTTTTTTTCACTTAGCTTTCAACCTTCAAATTTAGTACAAGTGTACCCTAACATTATCTTTCATTACAACAATAATGATGTCAACGTGCATTACACATGACCATTTAAATGCATTTTTTTAGACCCGTCTCAATTGACTTTCACTTTTTACTTTTTGTTGAATTTAAATATGTGATGCATGCACTCTGGCCTTCTTTATTTAGAAACATCTTAAACTTTCGTTACATGTAAATTCGCGCAAAATTCTCTCGTAATTTTTTTTATATTTTGACTATACTTTTCAATTGCTGCACTATTAACAACCGTGCCATTAATTAACTTTCTTGGCAAGAGATGTTTCGGAACTTAAAATAATGTTATGTAACTTTTACAGTTAAATTATTGATTTGGAATTCACATGACAGTTGATAGGCATACCAGTTTGGGATTTTATCATCCGTTTGTCATAGGTATACCGGCTTGTTATTTTTTGTAGTATTAATCCAAATTAACGAAAACTAACGGAGGGTAAATTTACCATAAATGTATCGATTTAGGATTTTTAGTGATCAAAAAATTAATTAGAATAAATTTATCATAAATATATCGATTTGAATTAATAATCAAAAAATTAATTTTGAATAAATTTATTATAAATATTATAATTTTGCATTCTTGGTGATATTCACCTTGGTTAAACTAGTCAATTCGACCCCCAACGTCGTTTTCGGAGATGATGTTCTCGAAGGAGGAAGGGCTTCAAAAGAAATCCTCATCTGCAAGCAGCAGCACTTCATTACTTTCTCCCACCAAAAAGTTAGAACGAGGATCACCTTCGCTCATCAATTTCCTACAAATCCCTGCAATTATGGCCTCCCCCATTATTGTTCACTATGCAACAAAAATCTTCTCCCTCTCTCTCTCTCTCTCACTCTCTCTCTCTCTCTCTCTCTCTGTATCTGCACGCGTTATCCTAGGACAGAGTAAAGCTCCACCTCCTATCTAATGCGCGCAGATCTTTCCACGTGAACACTCCACTTCCTCTTCAAGCCGCCGTCACCGCGCCTTGCACGAGCTCTAGACCTTCTGTTCGTGCTTCTCGAGCAGTAATGGCGGCGACCCATCAGCGGTGCCGCGAGCTCGCGGCGGCTCTGAGGCTCTTGCTCTGCTTCTGCTGCTGCTTCTTGCCACTGGCTCTCTCCGCCGACGGCGACTACGAGATCTTGCTCCGGGTCAAGACCGCCCAGCTCGACGACCCGGACGGCCAGCTCGGGGACTGGGCCCCCAACACCGACCGCAGCCCCTGCAACTGGACCGGCGTCGCCTGCGAGTCCGAGACCCGGAACCGCTCCGTCGTGGCGATCGACCTCTCGGGCCTGAACCTCTACGGCGCGTTCCCGTCCGACCTCTGCCGGATCCGGACCCTCCGGAACCTCTCCCTCGCCGGAAACAACTTCGGCGGCGCCCCCGCGGCGGCGCCGTCGTTCTCGCTCTGCTCGCACCTCCAGTCGCTCAACCTCTCCGGCAACAACTTCGTCGGCCGGCTGCCGGACCTCTCGCCGGGGTTCGCCGACCTCCGGGTCCTCGACCTCTCGTTCAACAACTTCTCCGGCGATATCCCGGCGAGCTTCGGCCGGTTGCCGGCGCTGCGTGTCCTCATGCTGGTCGCGGACCTGCTCAACGGCACGATACCTTCCTTCTTGGGCAACCTCAGCGAGTTGACGCGGCTCGAAATAGGTTACAACCCATACAAGCCAGGCGTTCTGCCTCCGGAGATCGGAAACCTGTCCAGGCTCGAGAATCTATGGCTTGCGAGATCGAATCTCGTCGGAGAAATCCCGAGCTCGATCGAGAAGCTCACTTCTCTGAAGAACTTCGATGTGTCTAGCAATGCGCTGTCAGGGAAAATTCCCGATGCCATTGCCGGGTTGCGAAGCGCCGAGCAAATTGAACTGTACGACAACAACTTATCCGGCGAATTGCCGGAGGCGATCGCCAATTTGAGCTCTCTCCTTCGATTGGACGTCTCTCAGAACAGTGTCACCGGCGTCCTGCCGGAGAAGATCGCGGCGATGCCGTTCACGTCCCTGAACCTAAATGACAACCTCTTCACCGGCGAGATTCCCCAAGTTCTGGCGTCGAACCCTAATTTGCAGCAGCTGAAGCTCTTCAACAACTCTTTCACGGGGAGATTACCAGCCGATTTGGGCAAGAATTCCGACTTGGAAGATTTCGACGTCTCTGGCAACTCTTTCACCGGCGAGTTGCCTGAGAATCTCTGTTCCAGAGGCAAGCTCCAGAGCATCGTCGTCTTTAACAATCGCTTCACAGGAAGCTTGCCGAGTTCGCTAGCAAGCTGCGATTCTCTCGAATACGTCCGAATCAGCAACAACGGACTCTCCGGCGAAGTGCCGGCCGGATTTTGGGGCCTCCAGGCAGTCTGGCACCTTGACATGAGCTACAATAAGTTTGAAGGGGTGATTTCGCGGTCGATTTCGGGTCCCAAGGGCCTGACATCACTTCTGATCGCCGGCAACAACTTCTCTGGCGATATTCCGGCGGTGATTTGCCAGCTCTCGAACCTCACTGTCATCGATTTGAGCAACAACCGATTTGGCGGCGGACTCCCGACGTGTATCACCAATTTGGGCAATTTGCAGAAGCTCGAGATGCAAGGCAATTTGTTCACCGGCCAGATACCGAGTTCTGTAAGTCCATGGACCGATTTGACCGATTTGAACCTGTCGAACAACCGGTTCACTGGGAGCATACCGGCTCAATTAGGCGACTTGCCGGTGCTGACGTACTTGGACCTCTCTGGGAACTCGCTCTCCGGCGAGATTCCAGCAGAGTTGTCCAAACTGAAGCTTAACAAGTTCAATATATCGCACAATCGGCTCTACGGCGAGATACCGCCGGGCTTCGATCATGAGCTCTTTGTTTCGGGCTTAGTGGGCAACCCGAACCTGTGCAGCTTGGATTTGAAGCCGTTCCCGAAGTGCACGAGAGCCCGGCCCGCCACCTTCTACGTGCTCATAGCTCTAGCCGTATGCGCCGTGCTCCTTTGCGCGTCCCTCGTGTGGTTCCTCAGGGCGAAGTTGCATTGGTGCGGAGGCAAATCGAAACGGCTGTGGAAGATAACCACGTTCCAGCGGGTCAGGTTTAGCTATGAGATCATCGATCAGTTGACAGATGAGAACTTGATTGGGTCCGGTGGATCAGGCCAGGTCTACCGGATTAGGCTCAAGTCGGGCCAGACGGTGGCGGTTAAGAGGCTCCGGGGCGGGACCCTGAACCCGGACACCGAGTACGTGTTCAATTCGGAGGTGGAGACCCTGGGTAACGTCCGCCACGGCAATATAGTAAAGTTGCTGTTCACGTGCGCGGCCGACGAGGGCAGGCTTTTAGTCTACGAGTACATGGTGAATGGGAGCCTGGGCGATGTGCTCCACGGGCTCAAGAGCGGAGGGTTCCTCGATTGGCGCCAGCGGTTCGCGATAGCAGTGGGCACGGCCCAGGGACTGGCCTACCTGCACCACGACTGCGTGCCCGCTATCGTGCACCGGGATGTGAAGAGCAACAACATCCTATTGGACGAGGACCTAACCCCGCGGGTCGCCGATTTCGGCTTGGCGAAGACGTTGCAGCAAGAGGCGGCGTCGACTGGGGACGGCCTCATGTCGAGGGTGGCCGGGTCCTGCGGCTATATTGCGCCAGGTGCGTAGTCCCAAATCTCTTATCTTGCATTATTGTCCGTTTGATTATGTGGTCTCCTTTGGTTCCTAAGAAGATATCTACAGTGGCTAGTGTTCACTTGCACTAAACTAGAAAGACTAGTTGGTCCCATGGTTCAATACGATAATGTTAATTTCAGCGATGTATGGGGTCCATGAGGAAGTGCTTGTGAGTTGTGTGTTTTGGCCTTTTTAGCCCATGCCTCCACTCATCTTTTTGACTAAAGTCTACCCATTTGAACAGGGAGTTCTTAAATGGATTTGGAATTTGGTACACATTTAATATGGGCAGTGCAGCTTGTTTTATGAATTGTGTAGACAGCTATAATGTTCTCATACTCATTTGATTTGCCAGAGTAATTTGATTGGTGGTTCTTTCCTGAGCATTTATGTTGATTATTATTTTTTCGGTGTTCACAGAGTATGCATACACCTTGAAAGTAAACGAGAAGAGCGACGTCTACAGCTTCGGCGTTCTTCTCCTGGAGTTGATCACCGGGAAAAGGCCAAACGACCCTTGGTTCGGCGAGAACAAGGACATCGTGAAGTGGGTCACCGAGATCGCACTGTCGACTCCCGAGGCGGAAGGGGAAGGAAATTGTGACGGCAAGCCAGGGTGCTGCCACGGCGATCTCGCGCAGCTCATGGATCCGAGGTTGAGCCCATCCTCGAGCGACTATGAGGAGATTGAGAAGGTCTTGAACATAGCTCTCTCTTGCACTTCTCCCTCGCCGATCAACAGACCCAACATGCGACGCGTGGTTGAGTTGCTCAAGGACAAAAAGTTGGTCCGTTCCAAATGATATGAACTATAGCATTTTTAGCTCTCAGTTTTGTGGTCAATGTGTGTAATATGCGCTGGGCTTTTGTGAGATAGATCTTCTGCTGAAAGTAGTGAAAGGCCTGTGAGATGGATCTTCCGCTGGCCTCTTTTTCTACCTCTTCAAGTGTTCGGGTTTATCATTAATAGAATATAAGTTTTCAATTGCCGCATAATTTTGATTCTAACTTTGGTACGATGATCACTTAAATGTTATAACTTTTTTCTAAATCACTTGAGTATTATGACTTTTAATTGATCACATGAATATCATAAATTTTTAAGAACGTTTGTGCCAAATGCCGGTGATCCGACGTGGCATGATACTTGAGATGAACATTGTTAAAAACTTACAAATGCCGTAGGGAAAGACACCAACTTTTACGTAAGGGATGAATTACCCCACCAAAAAGATAAAATGTGATTGCCATGTCAGCAAACGGTCATGGCAAGGTGACTGCCATTCTTGCAAACTTTGCTTCCGTAAACTATCAAAACAAAGTCGTTTCCCACATGGAATAAAAATAACGTTGTTTCCAATCTGAATATGACTTGGAGTCGCAAACGACATTGTTCCCTCTAAAAAAGTAGAATGATGTTGTTTCTGAGCTAATTAATGGGGTTTCAAGTGTGTGTGCGCGCGTGGGAGGGAGAGAGAGAGTTCTTCACAAAAAATCAGACTGAAAGGGCAAAATTTGGGAAAATTTAGTGAATATGCTCTGATTTTGTACAAAATCCGTAGCCCAATTTACATACCCCCTTCTTAATTTGATTTGAAGCCATAATATTTGTGTTTAGAGATGAGATGTTGATTATATATGTAAGCATGTCTGCTGACATGGCATTTCTTGTTAGCAATGTCAGCATCTGTTAGCCATTCAGACAGCATATTCGCACCTTTTAATAGGAATTCATACGATAGCCAGAATTCTCTCACAGTTAAAATTGGCGCCTTTTAACGTGACGCTTGAACGTTGGTGCGAAATTATTGCCCGAGTAAAAGTTGGAATTTACTTTTTGTAAAAAGCGCTCAAGTGTTCAGTCCCTTTCCAAGTTTCGATAGCATCAACATTTTCCTTGGTCGAGAAAAGCATTGTAGGTTGTGGGTTTCCAATGAAAGAGAAAAGCTTTATAGTCAACAATAATGCTGAAGTGACTGCCGTGTCTGGTAATTCATTTGTATTATGCTGTGGTGTAAGTGATTCACGGTATCATACGCTCAGTTGTGACTACTTGATAAGTAAGTCTAAGAGTTGAATGTCCTTGATAAAATTCCCTGATAAAACTATTTGACAAGTAGGTGTATCTATTTGATAAAACTCCCTGATAATTCCATCGTATAATCACTTTTTTGAGTTGATAACTACCAAGAATATATCTTAAGATTAATATTTTGATGGCAAAGTTGACTACATCAAGAAGGTCTAGGATTGTTTTCACATGAGCAGTGGTAAATCTATGACTACTGCTTCTCATTTCAAGCTCTCAGCTAGAGTGTCACAATAGACAGATAAAAGGAAATTATATATGTCGAGAGTACGGTACTCTAGTGTGGATAAGAAGTCTTTGACCACTAAAAGCGTTATTTTATAAATGACAAATTTGAGAACTCAGTTGCACTCGGGCACGAATTTCCGAATTATATATTTAATCGAGATAAGCAAACCTCCTAGATATTTTAGAGCCATCTTTCCGGGCATTGGCTCATGATATTATCAAATGGTTACAATGATTTGATACCAATTATCTTACAAAGCAGACAATGTATTTGTCGGGGGAGCCTCTTGAACCCCACCGTCTACGTCATACTTTTGAGATTGGTCGACTAAATTGATTTCCATTTATGACATGTAAGAAACTTCAAGACTTCTAGCGCGTTCATATTAAAAACATTTAGTAAAGAAATGCCAATCAAGTAGGAAAATATTTAATTTTTTTTTGGTCGGATCACATTTAATATTAGAAAAAGGAAAATCTCATAATTTCATATATAGGATGTCATAAATGGAAATCAACTTAGTTGACCAATCCATAAGTGGGACGTAGATAGTGGGGTTCAAGCGACTCTTATGAAATATAAATTGCATGCTTTATGAGATTATTGTTATCAAACAATTGTAATTATTTAAATAAATCATGAGTAAATGCATGAAATTATCAAATTATTACAATGATTAGATACCAACAATCTCACATAGCAAGCAATTTATTCTGTCATGGGAGCCGCTTGCCCAACCATCTACATCCTACTTTGGAATTGGTTGACCAAATTGGTTTTCATTTATGACATTTTATGTAAGAAATTATTATTGGACTTGATTGGTATTTCTTTACTATTTTTTTTCAAGAGGATCGCGGTAGAAGTCTTAAAATTTCTTACATCGAATGTCATAAATGAAAACCAATTTAGTTGACCATCCACGTCCTGCTTTGGGATTGGTCAACTTAATTGGTTTCAATTTATGATATTTTTCAAACTTCTACCGCGGTCATGTTGAAAAAAAAATTAGTAAAGAAATACCAATCAAGTCGGATAACATTTAATATTAAAAAAGGAAAATCTCAGACTTTCATATGTAGGATGTTATAAATGGAAATCAATTTAGTCGATCAATCCAAAAGTAGGATGTAGTCTGTGGGTTCAAGGGGCTCCCACGAAAAATAAAGTGCATACTTTATGAGATTATTGGTATCAAACCTTTGCAATCATTTAAATACATCACAAGCAAAGCCATGAAATTATCAAATAATTACAATGATTTGATACCAATAATCTCATCACAAAGGAGGCACCATCATGCAAAAAATCGATAAAGAAATATCAATCCAGTCAGATAACATTCAATATTGAAAAAAGAAAGTCTCAAAATTTCATACATAGGATGTCATGATGAACTCAATTTAGTCGATCAATCCAAAAGTATTGTGTAGTAGGTAGGGTTCAAGCGGCTCCATGACAAAATAAATCACGGCAATTTATTTTGTCGTGGAGCCGCTTGATAGCATATTTTGGGATTAGTCGACTAAATTGGTTCCATTTAGACATTCCATGTATGAAATTTTCATACTTTTATCGCGATCATCTTGAAAAAAATAGTAAATAAATACCAATCAAGTCGGATAACATTTAATATTAAAAATAGAAAAATCTCAAAATTTCATAGATAGGATGTCATAAATGGAAACCAATTTAGTCAGTCGATCCAAAAGTAGGACATAGTCGGTAGGATTCAAGCGGCTCCCACGACAAAATAAATTGAATGCTTTATGAGAATATTGGTATTAAACCATTGCAATCATTTAAATACATCATGAGTAGAGGCATGAAATTCTCAAATAATTACAAGGATATGATACCAATAATCTCACAAAGCAGACATTTTATTTTGTCATGGGGTTCGCTTGAACCACACCATCTATATTGTACTTTGGGATTGGTTGACTAAATTGGTTTCCATTTATGACGTTCTATGTAAGAAATTTCAAGACTTCTACCGCAATTATCCCAAAAAAAAATTGTAAAGAAATATTTATCAAGTTGGATAACATTTAATATTAAAAGAAGGAAAATATAACAATTTCATACGTAATATCTCATAATTGGCAATCAATATAGTCAATCAATCCAAAAGTAGGATGTAGTCGGTAGGGCTCAAGCCATTGTTATGACAAAATAAATCGTATGCTTTATGAGATTATTGGAATCAAATCATTGCAATCATTTAAATACATCATGAGCAAAGGCATGAAATTATCAAATTATTACAACAATTTGATACCAATCATATCACAAAGCATGCAATTTATTTTTGTCGTGGGAGCCTCTTGAACCCCACCATGTACGTTCTACGGGAAAAGTGTCAAAAAAGTCATAAACCTTTTGCATTGGTGTCAATTTAGTCATAAACCTTTTTTTGGTGCCAATTCAGTCCTAAACCTTTTGCATTAGTGCCAATTGAGTCCTAAACCTTTTTTGGTGCTAATTCAGTCCTAAACCTTTTGCATTGGTGCCAGTTCAGTCCTTAACCTTTTTTGTGTGCCAATTCAGTCATAAACCTTTTGCATTGGTGCCAATTTAGTCCTAAACCTTTTGTATTTTTGCTAATTCAGTCCTTCGACACGTGAATAGCTATTAGCCGGAAGGACTGGATTGGCACAAATGCAAAAGGTTTAGAACTGAATTGGTACCAAAAAAAGGTTTAGGATTGAATTGGCACAAATGCAAAAGGTTTAGAACTGAAATGGCACAAATGCAAAAGGTTTAGGATTGAATTGGCACAAAAAAAAGGTTTAGGACTAAATTGGTACAAATACAAAAGGTTTAGGATTGAATTGACACAAAAAAAAGGTTTATGACTTTTTTGACACTTTTCTCTACGTTCTACCTTGGGGTCGGTGGACTAAATAGATTTCCATTTATGACATATGTAAGAAATTTCCAGACTTCTACCGTGATCATCTTGACAAAAATAAGTAAAGAAGTACCAATCAAGTTAAATAACATTTAACATTAAAAAAGGAAAATCTCCAAATTCATACATCGGATGTCACAGATGGAAATCAATTTGGTCGATCAATCCCGCGTGGGCGGTGGGGTTCAAGCGGCTCTCACGGCAAAATGAATTGCATGCATTGGGAGATTATTAACAATTGTAATTATTTAAAAACATCATGAGCAAATGCCTGGAAAGATGGCTCTAAAGGTTTTTAGGAGGATTGCTTATCTCGATCGAAAATGTTAATTAGAAGTGTCATTGATCTCATCTTCCTGCCTAACAAGTCCATTGTGACCTTACCTGCACTGAACAATCGCCGATCAGCTTGGAGATCAAGGTACATCCCTTCTTCATGTCATTAAATTTTCAGCAAGCCAACCCAAAACACATCAGTTCTCGTGGATTGCTTCCTGACACATTGTTGATGTTTATGACATGAGGGATTTCTCTTCTTTGTGGTAGGTTACTGTAACAAATTTTTTGGGGATCTCGGTTGATGGATTCATTCGGAGAAAAAACACAATGAATGAGGTCAAATATGTAGCCAGTGATTAGGGTTTGGTTTGACAAGAACTGTTGCCTAACATCTACTTTGTCTCGCAAATGGTATTAAATCCAAGACTGGCCTTAGTATCACTCAAATGTGGCTTGGTTGTCAGATTTGCTTCCATTATAGGTGT